GAATGTACTCAGGGAAGGGAATTTCAATGTCCACTACCAAGAGCACTACTCATAGAGCTGGTCGAATCCTAAAGGACATAGCTGCTAGACTGGGTCTGCAACAGGTGGTAAGGGAATCAAAAAGAGGGGAAAACATACTTGACCTCACCCTGACCAATCTGCCTGCTATATATGCATCTCTTCATGACAGCATTGGTAAGAATGACCACCGCACAGTCCTTGTGGAGACCAAGTTGCATCTTCACATTGAGAATAATCTCCATCGTGTTGTGTAACACTATCACCGTGCGAAAGAGTACAGCCTTCAAACAGCTCTAGCAGCTCAAGACTGGGCATCCATGAGGCACTGTGGTCTAAAAACAGTAGCAGAATTGCACTCTGCAATCTGCAACCTCATGGCCTGGCATATCCCTCACACAACCATTACATCAAGCCAGGGAAAAACCTGATTCAATGGCGAGTGCAGGAAGGCATGCCAGAAGTAGCACCAGGGCATATCTAAAAATGAGGTGTCAACCTGGTGATGCTACCAAACAGGATTACTTGCATGCCAAACAGAATAAGCGGCAAGTGATAGACAGAGCTAAGTGATCCCACCACAGACCAGATCTAAGTTCTGAAGTCCTGCCACATCCAGTTGTGAATGGTGGTGGACAACGAAACAACTCACTGGAGGAGAAGGAGCCTTAACAATTATCCCTATCCTCAATGATGGAACAGCCCAAAAGATCAGTGCAAAAGATAAGGCTGAAGCATTCACAGCAATCTTAATCCAGAAGTACTAAGTGGGTGATCTATCTCAGCCTCCTCCAGTGGTTCCAACATCACAGATGCCAGTCTTCAGCCGATTTGATTCACCTACATGATATCAAAAAACAGTTGGAGGTGCTGGATACTGCCAAGGCTATTGGCCCTGACAACATTCCAGCAATAGTACTGAAGACTTGTCCTCCAGAACTTACCACTCCCCTAGCCAAGCTCTTCCAGTACAGTTACAACACTGGCATCTACCCAACAATGTAGAAAATTGCCCAGGTACGTCTTGTACATGAAAAGTAGGACAAATCGAAAGCGGTCAATTACCGCTCCATCAGTCTACTCTCAATCATCAGTAAAGTAATGGAAGATGTCATCAACAGTGGTATCAAGCAGCTCATTCTCAGTGATGCCCAGTTTGGGTCCCACCAGGGCCACTTAGCAACATTGACAAAAGAGCTTAATTCCTTAGATGAGTTGAGAGTGATAGCCCTCGACATTAAAGCTGCTTTTGATCAGTGCAGCACTAAGGATTTATAGCAAAACTGGAATCAGGGGGCAAACTCTCCACTGATTAGAGTCATACCTGGCACACAAGAAGATAGTTGTGGTTGCTGGAGGTCAATCAGCTCTGCACAAGTACCTCAGGGTGGTGTCCTCGGCCCAAACATCTTCAGCTGTCTTTTCAATGATTTTCCCTCTATCATAAGGTCAGAAGTGGGGATGCTTGCTGATTATTGCACAATGTTCAGCACCATTTATGACTCCTCACTTACTGAAGCTGCTCATGTTCAAATGCAACAAGACCTGGACAATATCCAAGTTTGGCTGTGAAGTGACAAGTAGTATTCAGGCCCCACAAATGCCAGATAATGACTATTTCAAAAAAGAGACAATTTAACCACTGCCCCTTGACATTCAATGGTGTTACCATCACATCATAAAATATAGAACAATACAGCACAGGAACGGGCCCTTTGGTCCACAATGTTGTGCCGAACATGATGCCAAATTAAACGAATCCCTTTTGCCTACCTTTAGTCCATATCCCTCCATTCCTTGCATATTTGTGTTCTTATCCAAAAGTCCCTTAAACGCCCCATCTTATCTGCCTTCACCACTACCCCTGGCAGCATATTCCAGATTCCTACCACACTCTATTTAAAAAAAAACTTGCCCCTCACATCTTGTTTGCACCTTCCTCCTCTTACCTTAAATGCATGCCTCCTAGTATTAGACATTTCAACTCTGGGGAAAAAAAGATTCTGACTGTTAACCATATCTACGCATCTCATAATTTTACAGACTTCTATCAAGTCTCCCCTCAGCCTGCACTACTCTAGAGAAAACAACCTGAGCATTTCCAGCCTCTCCATATAGCTCACAACCTCTAATCCAGGCAACATCCTGGCAAGCCACTTCTGCACCCTATCCAGAGCCTCCATGTCCTTCCTGTAACATGGTGGCCAGAATTGAACCTAATACTTTAAGTGCGGCCTGACCAAAGTCTTGTAAAGCTACAACATGACATCCTGACTCTTGTATTTAATTCTTCAAGAAATGAAGGCAAGCATTCCATACACCTTCTTTACCACAGGATCTACTTGCATGGTCACTTTCAAGGAAGTATGGACTTGAACCCCCCAAGATCCCTGCTGTTCAGGGTCCTGCCATTAACTGTATACTTTTCCTTAACATTTTATCTCCCAAAGTTTCGCACTGCACACTTGCTTAGATTAAACTCCATCTGCCATTTCTCCGCCCATATCTGCAACTGATCTATAACCCGCTGTATCCTTTGACAACCTTCTAACCTATCCACAATTCCACTGATCTTTGTATCATCCGCAATCCTACTAATCTACCCATGTACATTTTCATCCAAGTCATTTATATATATCACAAACAGCAGACATTCCAGTACGGATCCCTGCAGAACACCACTAGTCACAGATCTCCAGACTGAGAAACACCCTTCCACCACTGCCTTCTGCCTTCTTTGGAAAAGCCAATTCTGAATCCACATGCCAAGTCCTTGTGGATCCCACATATCGTAATCTTCTGGACACGCCTATCATGAGGGACCTTGTCAAAAACCTTACTAAAATTCCCCATTGTCAACATCCTTGGGGTTACCATTGACCAGAAACTCAATTGGTCTCACCACATAAACACAGTGGGTATAAAAGTAGGTCAGAATCTAGGAATACTACAGTAAGTAATTCACCTCCTGACTCCCCAGAGCCTATCCTAAACCTACAAGGCACAAGTCAGGAGTGTGATAGAATACTCCCCACTTGCCTGAATGAGTGCAGTGCCAACAACACTCAAGAAGCTTGACATCATCCAGGAAACCCTCAATGGCAGGGGTGGCACGGTGACTCAGTGGGGGGTGGCATGATAGCTCAGTGGGGGGGTAGCACGGTGGCTCAGTGGTTAGCACTGCTACCTCACAGCGCTAGGGACCCGGATTCAATTCCACCCTTGGGTGACTGTCTGTGTGGAGTTTGCATATTCTTCCCGTGCCTGTGTGGATTTCCTCTGGGTGCTCTGGTTTCCTCCCACAGTCCAAAGATGTGCAGGCTACGTGGATTGGCCATGCTAAATTGCCCATAGTGTTCATGGATGTGTAGATTGGGTGGGATGCTCTGAGAGTTGGTGTGGGCTTGTTGGGCTGAAGGGCCTGTTTCTACACTATAGGGATTCTATGAGTTCTACGAGACGAAGCAGCCCGCTTGCCTGGCACCACATCCATAAGCATCAACTCCCTCCACCATTGACGCTGAGTAGAGCAGTGTGTACTATCTACAAGATGTATTGCAGGAACTCACCAAAGAACAGCACCTTCCAAACCCAGGACCACTTCCATCAATAAGGACAAGGGCAACAGATACATGGGAACACCGTCTCCTGCAAGTTACCTCCAAGGCATTCACCATTCTGACTTTGAAATATATTGCCGTTCCTTCACTGTCACTGGGTCAAAATCCTGGGATTCACTCCCTAAGGGCATTGTGGGTCAACCCACAGCACATGGATTGCAGCAGTTCAAGAAGGCAGCTCACTACCACCTTTTGAAGGGCAACTAGGTACGGGTAATAAATGCTGGCCAGCCAACGACACCCATTCCCAACAGTGAATTAAAAGAAGTGTAAATCTAAGACAAGTGTTTTAAATCTAGTAAATGAAGGTAATTTTAAAGAGTACAAAGGCAGATCTAGCTGAAGTGAATTCAAATCTCGGTTAGTAGGTGGAAATGCAGTGGCAGAGTCTTAAGGAGAAATTTAATGACTCTCAGCAAAGATTTATCTCAGTGAGAAAGATTCTTTGAGAAGAATGCATCATCAGTGGCACCAGATCAGAAGATAGGTCAGATTTTATAAATAGTCAAAGAACGACTAAAACAAAAAAGAGGAAGAAAGGAGAATTGATGATAATATGAAAACTGATAGTAAGAGGTTCTAAAAGGATTTGAAAGTGAAAAGAACAACTCAATCTAGTGTTGGTTCTGCAGAGAGAGGGTATGAGGGAATTGATAATGGAAAACAAGGAAATGGCATAGGTAATGGATAGGCATATTGTGTCTAACTTCCCTATGAAAGACTTGGAAAATTTGCAAAATATACTTGAGAATCAAGAACTGAAATGGAGAGAGGAACTTAAAACAATCACCATCACCGGACAAAAAGTGCTGGGAAAACTAAAACTGAAGACTGACAGGTGCCTAGGAGTTGCAACAGTCCAGGAACACATTCTTTCTGCCACAAAGAACATGGCCCTGTGTATTAATACATGTAGCTTCTAGTACATGCGAGTGCACTTCAATATCAGCCTGACTGACAATTCCAAACTAATTATCAATGTAATTCTTCACACAGACAGGATTGTTTTGCAAATGTTCTCCAATTGCAAAATCACATGTAATGTTGACCACTGGGTTGTGCGTTTTGCAAGCCTGGGCTCGTTGAGTACAGTCAGTGCTTTGATTATTGCAAATGATAAAAGGAATATGTCCTTTGATCTGATCCGTCAGTGAGACTTATGGCCTACATAGCTAGCATCATACTGGCATTTAAGATTTATGCTACAACTCATTCATTTAGTTATTTGTTATTTCGTGCAATTTGGCCTGATTGCAAGATAAAAAGCTTCAATAAAATGTTACAGCAATACTCAAGCTCTGGATTACCAAATGACCAGGTAAAGTATATAACTCATTTTTTCTCAGACAGCGTACAACCAACCTTGAGTTCATTTTGAAGTAACATTTCTGTTAGGCTTCCATCTTTCTCATCGCTTAAAGTAGGACTGGAGTTTCGCTGCAAAACAACAGTGATTATTTGCACTTCTGTGCAAAATGGATTGAACACACCCTCCAGATATATACAACTAATAGGATCATGTTCCAACAGTACTCACCCATTGTTTGGTTGAAGCTAATTATGGCGATCACAACAGTGCAGTCGAAGATCTTATTAAAATCTAGCTGAGTCATCAAAGAACATTACTGCAACCTGTTAGTTGGTTTAATGAGCAGAATTGCTCCAAATCTGAGGTTTCAGAACAAACCACATTTCTAACCAGCATGAATCATGTTACTTCTAAGTCTAACAATACAAAATTGAATGAATTTAGATTATCCCTTGCCATTGAAGAACAATTCCCAGGACTATTTCTTACTTTAAATTCTCCCAATTCTTCTCACTCTTGCCCCAAAATTATTTTCTCTCTTCACTGTCAGTTTGACTCAGTCATGCCTCCCACTTCCCCAAGTCACAAGGTCCCAGTGAAGAACAATTCCAGGACACCAAATCTTAGCTGTCAATTCAATTCAATTCACTTCACTTCAGGGAATGTTGCATTGTTCAGGTGCTATCCACCAGTTCAGGTAAGGAGAAATAATGATCTGGCACCGTTCAAAGAAGGGCAAGAATGTATTCGTGACCAATGTATAACCATCAAACAACACCACTAGCTAGGAGCAAATTACTGAAGATACTGGAATCTGCAGTGAAAACAGAAAATGCTGGAGATCGCAGTGTGTCAGGCAGCATCCATGGAGAGAACGTAACTAGCATTTTGAGTCTAGATGACTGTTCCTCCGAGGTGAAGTGAAGTGTGAAGGCAGCATTTATGCAACAGTTTGGCGGTGGATGTTGGGGTGGGATGCTGGTGGTGGTGGTTTGGAGTGTTGGGGAAGAAAGGATGCTGATAGTTCAGATTAAGTGATCGGAATACGAGAACTGCAGTGCAATTGTCTGTCTAACTGCCTGGGAAAAATGGACAGTCTCACTGAAGGAGAGGGGAGGAAAGACAGGACATGGTAACAGAATGTAACAAGCAAAGTTAAAAGAAAGGGAAGGAATTTGAAGTTTTTGAACTCAATATTAAGTCCAGAAGGTTCTAAAGTGCCTAGTCCAAAGATGAGATGTTGCTTCTCCAGTTTTTGCTATGATTCGCTAGAGTATTGCAGCATGCCGAGGATAGACAAGTAGGCAGGGAAACAGGACATTATGTTAAAATGACTGGCTACCGGAAGGTCATGCTCGCATACGGATGGGAAGTGTTCTGCAAAGCAGTCACCTAGTCTGCATTTAGTTTCTCCAATAAAGAGTAGGCCACATTGGGTGCAGTGAATACAATACACAAGGTTGGAGTAGGTACAGGTGAAATGCTGCTTCACCTGGAAAGACTGTTTAGGCCCTTGGATGGTGAGCAAGGAGGACGTGGGGGGCAGGTGTTGCACCTTCTGTGGTTACATGGGAAGGTGCCGTGGAAAATTTGAGGGGAGGAATGTGGTGTTGGTGGTCGAGGAATGGATTAGGTGTCCTGGAGGGAACGATACCTGTGAAATGCAGATGGGGGAAGTGAACGGAAGGTGTATTTGGTGGTGACATTCTGTTGGAGTTGTCTGAAATGACAGAGAATGATCCTTTGAATGCAGAGGCTGTTGGGATGAAAAGTGGGAATAAGGGGGAACCGGATCATACTGTTGTGAGTGATGGGAAGGGACAAGGGCAAAAGCATGGGTGATAGGTCGGATGCGGTTAAGGGCCTGTCAATCACAGTGGATCAGAAGCCATGGTTATGGAATAAGGAAGCCAGGTCAGCAGCGCTGTTCTGGAAGGTGGCATCATCCGACCAGATATGACGTAGCTGAAGGAACTGGGAGAATGGGATGGAATCCTTGCAGGATGTGGGGTGGGAAGACCTGTAGTGAAGGTACAGGTAGTTCTCCTACAATGCAATAGTTGCGTTCACGTGTGACCTCATGCTACAGAAAACTACGCTATAGAAAATTGCCACAGAAAATCATGTTAAAGGGAAATTGCTGTAGAAAATTGCTATACTTGTATAGCAGAAAGCTCGCATTATCCAAACAGCATCCACTATTTATTAATCGCGTTACAGCCAATTTGCGTTAATGAAAAACACATTATAGCAGAACTACCTTAGCTATGGGAGTCAGTGGCTTTTCAGTGGATGGCAGTGGACTGTTTATTGCTGAAATGGAGACAGAGAGGTCAAGGAAAAGAAGGAAGTGCAGCACTCTGCGATTCACGTCTAGCACTATGCGCCATCATGCATGCACACTCAACTCCACTCCACAGCAACTTCGACCTATCCTCTCTCAAAGCTGCTCAGGTCCCCAGTTTCAATGCATCCTTTGTCTCATCCGTCGCCTCAATAAAAGACTTTTTCCTCATTCTTTCACTCATCAAGGCGCGCAAGCTCCAGCAACTTACGGATTCTAACATCCATTCTGAGCCGCCCTCCCCTTTCCGCCTCTTGGACCCCATCCCCTCCCGTCACACAGAACTGACCCCTTACCGTCCCCTTAACACCCACCCTGTTCCAGCCCTCAGATACTATCCCTTTCTGTCCCCCAGAGGTCACACCCCTCAACCCCAGCCTTTGCTGTGTTCTTACCATACCTCCTGATCTTCCCCTCTCTGAGGCTGAACGTTCTGTCCTTGGCAAAGGATTCAGCTTCATAACCTTAATGAATTTTGAGCTCCCCATGACATTGAACTGTTTTCCTGCCGCCATCCCCATCTCCACACTCATTTCTTCGGGCAGGATTCCTCCCCCCACCGATATCCGTCTCCAGTATTCACCCTTTACTTGGACCCCTTCCCTCTGCCCTTGATTTCTTCATTGAAAACTCCCAGTGTGACATCAGCTGTCTCAGTTTCTCTGCTCCTCTCATGCACTTTAACTTGTCCCTTCTGAAATTGCTGTACTTCACGCTCTCAGGTCAAACCTAACTTTGTTAACAAACATGCTGACAAGGGTGGTGCCATTGTAGTCTGGCGCACTGACCTTTACCTTGCAGAGGCTTAACGCCAACTCTCAGACACTTCTTCCTAGCTCCCCTGGACCATGACCCCATACCCATATCTGAACGTCAAGCCATTGTTGTCAGGTCTGTCACCAACTTTATTACCTCTGGAGATCTTGCCCCCATTGCCTCCAACCTTATATTCTCCCAAATCTGGGCAGCCCCATTTACCTCCTTCCCAAAATCCACAAACCAGTCTGCCCCCATTAGGCCCATCGTATCAGCCTATTCCATAAGACCATAAGACACAGGAGCAGAAATTAGGTCATTCGGCCCATCGCGTCTGCTCCACCATTCAATCATGACTGATAAGTTCCTCAATCTCATTCTCCTGTTTTCTCCCTGTAACCCTTGATCCCCTTGATAATCAAGAACCTATCTATCTCAGTCTTAAATGTACTCAATCACCTGGCCTCCACAGCCTTCTGTGGCAGTGAATTCCATAGATGCACCACTCTCTGGCTGAAGAAGTTTCACCTTATCTCCGTTCTAATAGGTATTCCTAAGGCTGTGCTCTCGGGTCCTAGACTCTCCTACCAATGGAAGCATCTTCCCAACATCCATTTTGTCCAGGCCATTCAGTGTTCTGAAAGTTTCAATTAGATCCCCCCTCATCCTTCTAAACTCCAATGAGTATAGTCCCAGAGTCCTCAAACGTTCCTCATATGTTAAGCTTTCCATTCCTGGGACCATTCTCGTGAACCTCCTCTGAACCCGCTCCAGGGCCATTACATCTTCCTTGAGATATGGGGCCCAAAACCGCACACAATACTCCAAATATGGCCTGACTAGAGCCTTTTAAAGCCTCAGTTGTACGTCCCTGCTTTTATATTCAAGTCCTCTCAAAATAAATGCCAACATTGCATTTGCCTCCCTGACTACTGACTCAACCTGCAAGTTTTTGAGAGAATCCTGGACTAGAACTCCCAAGTCTCTTTGCACTTCAGACTTCTGAATCTTCTCCCCATTTAGAAAATAGTCCATGCTTTTATTCTTCTTACCAAAGTGCATGACCTCACACTTTCCCACATTGTACTCCATCTGCCACTTCTTTGCCCACTCTCCTAAACCTGTCCAAATCCTTCTGCAGCCTCCCCACCTCCTCAATACTACCTGTCCCTCCACGTTAGCCTCCAAACTTAGCCAGAATACCCACAGTTCCTTCATCGAGATCATTAAATGTACAAAGCGAAAAGTTGTGGTCCCAGCACTGACCCTTGCGGAACACCATTTGTCACCGGCTGCCTTCCTGAGAAAGACCCCTTTATCTCCACTCTCTGCTTTCTGCCAGACAGCCAATCTTCTATCCATGCTAGCACCTTGCCTCTAACACCGTGGGCCCTTATCTTACTCAGCAGCCTCCTGTGTGGCACCTTATCAAAGGCCTTCTTGAAGTCCAGGTAGATAACATCCATTGGCTCTCCTTGGTCTACTCTGCTCGTTACTTCCTCAAAGAATTCTAGCAGATTTGTCAGGCATGATCTCCCCTTGATGAAACTATGCTGACTTTGCCCTATTTTACTATACATTTCCAAATATTCAGAAATCTCATCTTTCACAATAGACTCCAAAATCTTACCCACGACCAAAGTTAGGCTAATCGGCCTGTAATTTTCCATCTTTTGCCTTACTTCATTTTCAAACACGGGTGTCACGTTAGTGATTTTCCAGTCCTCTGGGACCCTCCCTGACTCTAGCAATTCCTGAAAGATCACCACTAATGCTTCCACAATCTCTTCAGCCATCTCCTTTAGAACTCTGGGGTGTAGTCCATCTGGTCCAGGTGATTTGTCCACCTTCAGGCCTATCAGTTTTACTAGCACCTTTTCCTTAGTGATGGCCACCATACTCAGCTCCGCCCCTGGACTCTCTTGAATTTTTGGGATTTTACTCATGTCTTCCACTGTGAAGACTGACGTGAAGTAATTATTCAGTTCCTCAGCCATTTCCTTGTTCCCCACTACTATCTCTCCACCGTCATTTTCCAGTGGTCCAATGTCCACTTTTGCTTCTCTTTTGCCCTTTATATACCTAAAGAAACTCTTACAGTCTTCATTTATATTACTGGCTAGCTTACCCTCATATTTAATCTTCTCCCTCCTTATTTGCTTTTTTTGTTGGTCTTTGTAAGCTTCCCAGTCCTCTGGTTTCCCACTGCCCTTTGCCACATTATATGCTCTGTACATATTCCTGCCCCACAGAACTAATTTCCTCCTACCTTGACTTGTCCAGACCCTGCTCATCTACATCGGCGCCTCCTCTGATGTCCTCCGTCATATTGACAATTTCCACTTCCCTGGCCCTGAGTGCCTCCTGTTCACCATGGATGTCCAATCCCTCTATACCTCCATTCCCAACCGGAATGGTCTAATAGCTCTCGGCTTCTTCCTCAAACAGAGGCCTAAATAATCCCCGTCCACGATCCAATCTCCTCCATTTGGCTGAACCTGTTCTCTCACTGAACAATTTCTCTAATTTATCTCACTTCTGTCAAGTCAAAGGAGTGGCTATGGGCACCCACATGGGTTCCAGTTATGCCTGCCTCTTTATGGGGTATGTGGAACAATCCTTTTTCCAGTACTATACTAGCCCCCTCCCACAACTCTTTTCTTGGTACATCGACGACTATTTCGGTCCCGCTTCATGCTCCTGCCTGGACCTTGAAAAGTTGTTCAATTTGCCTCCAATTTCCACCCCTCAATGACTTCTGCATTTTCCATTTCTGACAGTTCCCTTCCTTTCCTTGACCTCTCCGTCTCTTCAGATTAGGTAATTTACAACCTTCTGGACTTAATATTGAGTTCAACACCTTCAAATAGTGAACACATTCCTTCCCTTTTTTGTAAGCTTTGCTTGTTACCTTCTCTGTCACCACATCCTCTCTCCCCTCCCTCCCCTCCAGCGGGGCTGTTCATCCCAGTCTGTCAGTTAGGCACACCATTGTTCAACCATTCTTACAGCAGGATCACTTAATCTGAATTGTCAACATCCTTTCTCCCACAGCACTCCAACTGCTCCACCCTGCAAACTGCATAAATTGTTCACACTTCCTCCATACTTCACTTAAGCTCTGATGAAGAGTCACCTAGACTCGAAATATTAGGTTGCTTTCTCTCCATGGATGCTGCCTGACCAGCTATGATCTCCAGCATTTTTTTGTTTTCAAACAATACCACTAAGTGGTTAATTAGTCACTCATCTATCCGCTGCTTTCTTTATCTCCAGACTACCCACTGTCATAGATATCTAAAGCACAGAAAAAGGCCTTTCGGCCCTTTGTGCCCATGTCAATCAAAAACAACCACCTAACTATGTTAATCCAATTCTCCAGCACAGGGTCATGGCCTTGTACATCTTGGCATCACAATTACACATATAAATACTTCTCAAATGTTATCAAGATTTCTGCCTCTACCATTCCTTCAGACAGTGAGTCCCAGATACCCACCACCCTCTGGATGAAAATATTTTTCTTCACATCTCCTCTAAATCTTCTGTCCCTTTTCTTAAATCTATGCCCCCAGTCATTGATCCTTCCATCAAAAGGGAAAAATTTCTTCCTATCTACAATTCATGATTTTTTTATACATCTCAATCACATCCTGTCTCAATCTCCTCTGCTCTAAGCAAAACAACCCCAGTCATTCCAATCTCTTTTCATAACTGAAACTCTCCAGCCCAGACAACATCCTGGTAAATCTCCTCTGCACTCTGTCCAGTGCTATCACATCCCTCCTACAATGTGGATTCCAAAAACAGCATACAATAAGTCTAGCTGTAGCCTAAACAATGTCTTACACAGTTCTAGCATCATTTTCCTACTCAAATGCTATGCCTCAGACAATTAAGTCAAGTATCCCATATACTTTTTCACTATTTTATCTACCTGTCCTACTGCCTTAAGGCATTGGGGATGGACTGGCATACCAAGGTCCCTCTAATCCTTGGTGCTTAGGCCATAAGACCATAAGATGTAGGAGCAGAATTAGGCCATTCAACCCATCAACTCTGTTCCACCATTCAATCATGGCTGCTATGTTTGTCAACCCCATTCTCCTGCCTTTTTCCCGTAACCCTTGATCCCTTACCATTCAGGAACTTATCTATCTCTGTCTTAAATACACTCATGACTTGGCCTCCACAGCCCTCTGCAGCAATGAGTTCCACAGATTAACCACCCTCTGGCTGAAGAAATTCTTCCTCATCTCAGTTATAAAGGGTCAGCCCCTAACTCTGAAGCTGTACCTTCGGGTCCTAAACTTCTTCTCCATGTACACTCTATCCGGGCCTCTCAGTATTCTACAAGTTTCATTGAGAACTCCTTAATTCTTCTAAACTCCAGGTGCAGACTCAGAGTCCTCAACTGCTCCTCATATGACAAGCCCTTCATCCCCAGGATCATTCTTGTTAGCTTCCTCTGGACCCCCTCCAATGCCAGCACATCCTTTCTTAGATACAGTGACAAATCTATTCAATATTCCAAATGCAGTCTGTCCAGAGCCTTATATGTAGTCCCAGCGTCTGACCATTCATTATGTACTTCCTTGCCTCATTTGTCCTACCCAAGTGCATCACCTCACACATATCTGGATTGAACTTCAATTGCCACTGATCAACACATCTGACCAACCTGTCTATATCTCCTCTATTCTACAGCTATCCTTCTCATTATTTACCACCTCATCTGTGAACTTACTGATCAACCCTCCTACTTTTCACGTCCAAATCATTCATATATACCATCAACAACTATATCCTTAATACAGACCCAGATTTCCAGTCGGAAAAACACTCAACCATCACCCTCCCCTTCCTACCACTCAGACAATTGTGGATCTAATTTACTAAATTTTCTTGGATCCCATGGGCTCTGACCTTTGTTATTACTCTCCCATGTGGGAACTTATCAAAAGCCTTGCTGAAGTCAAGCAGACTACATCAAAACCATTGCCCTCACCTACACACCTTGTCATCTTTTTGAAGGGTTCAATCAAGTTGGTCTGACATGACCTCTCCTTAACAAAACCACGCAGACTGTTCTTGATTAATCTGTATTGGGAGAGGCAGGGAATAAGTCTGTCCCTCAGAAATGCTTCCAACAATTTCCCCATCATTGAGCCAGCTTGTAGTTTCCTGCTTATTTCTTGCTCCCTTCTTGATTAAGAGCACCACATTGACTGTCCTCCAGTCCTCTGGCACCTCTCCTGAGGCCAGAAAGGAAATGAAAATTATTGTCAGTGCCCCTGCTATTTCCTCCCTTGCCTCATTCAATAGCTATGCTTCAAAGTAATTCCCTGGCTGTCAAGGATTTTACAGCGTCCTGACTATGTGAAATCTATTTTAGATATGCAAGTCCTTCCTTCTTTCTTTCCATGATTGCTTTTATATACCTTATCATCTACATGAAAAATTGAAACCACCGTAGACTTGTCTGTGACTCTCCAGTTGATCAAAACACCATCAAATTAGAACTAAAACCTACTAAAACAGGGAAAAAGGGAGGTGGCGTCACGTTCTAATTTTCCTAAGCTAACGAAATGAAAAGCTGAGGAAACCATTTCAGTTTATGCTCCTGTGAAATGCCTCAGAACTTCTACTGCCTTAAAAAGGTGCTATATAAACGTATGTACTTATTACTATCAAGAACAAGGGCACAGAGCATCAAATGGCCCAGTATCTGATTTCATTACGAAGAATTGTGAGGAGAGTTATTTTTATCCATAGGTCTCAGAACTCAGGGTTATATATAAATCTCCAAGGGAAATAAACACTAATATTTATTTAATACATTTTTGAGAAACTTTAGCCAAACTATAGACAAGACAACAATTTATTTGATCAGGTGTGATTTTTATAAAACTGCAGTAAGGTATATTACAATACTGTCATTGTTAAAGTTTAGTTCATTGTTTACACTTTGATTTTAGTGGAGAATGTTTCACTTACTAATTCAAAACTCATCAGCATGGCTTTCAATCGATCAATTTCCTCACGCAGTTCTCTAATCAATTTTACATTAGCATCCTGAAAAATGTTAAAGGGACTCAACATTAAATTACAAAATATATTTTATAATCAAAGCAATTCCAATTTAGAGACACAATTATTCCATTTATTGTCAATGCATTTTTTCCTTTTGTCTAAAAACAGTCTCACACCAATATACCATTTCATTGGTGCTTCTATAATGCTCAGAGAATTCCGGTTTTAATCGTTCCATCAATAGCAGCAAAGCCTTCAGTTACCTAGATTAAAGCTGGAATTATCTTCCTAGAGCTCTCCATCTTGGGCTTCTTTAAGCTGGTCCTCAACACCTGTCTCGCCGGCTAAGCTTTTGATCAACTGCCTTCATCTACTTATGTGACTTAATTTTAAATTCTGCATAGCATTTTGGATGTTTCATATTATACTAGGATGCAATATAAATGCAAGATGTTGTTAGTGCCACATTTTCTGTGCCTTTCCCAGCACCATTTTTCATCTGTTAGCAAATTTTTGAAGTGAGGGCGCCAGAGGTGAGCCTGATCCTAAACTCACCAACAGCTCACGATCTATGGGGAATGACTGAAAAGTGATCAGAGAATGGGAATCAGGGCTGATCTTTCTCTAGAGTGGTCAATTGGCTTTAATATTCCAGCATGATTCGGTTCCAGATTCAACAAAGCAATTTAAAAGCACTGATCAAATTGGTGAGTTATAATTTTAGAAAAGAGCAAACACACCTTAAATGTAATAAACGGGCAGATAGCCATTAATTTCTCACCTCATTCACTCGTGGCTTATTGATAATATTCTTTGCGTGTGCAGCATATCTTAAGGTGCTGATTGTTTCACTATAACTTGTGCTTGCAGGAGAGATTGCTGCAGTCAAGAAACATAGGATGTGATGATCATATTGCAAATCAGGCAGAGACAGAAGTAAAAGAACAAACAATACCAATATAAAATAAAGCAATAGGTTTGCAAAAGTAGATTACTACAACAGTTTATTAGACAAGCAGCTTTCACTTTTGGAAGCATTTTGCAGTATATTGATATTTACCATTGCAGCACTGCTGTAGGAGACACTCAACAAAAACAACAAACAAATTAGCTAGAAAAGATCTAGAAAAATGCTTCAATACTTGACATTTCAAATGAACGCAATAAAATCTGTCAAAAATACAATAAACAATTCAATGGCATCGTAATTTTGAATCCCCTCTTTCCAACTAAAAGATACTGCAAACGACCAGCTTGAAATAACACAATTGAAACATTGCTAATTGTTGCTGGATACGATATTTCAGAATATCTTTGAGCTTTTGATGAGCAAACAGCAACATAGCCCTCATTGCTCAATGTCAAAATGACCACTTGTGAGAGACTAGGTCACAGGATGTCAGCAATGTAGAAATACAAATAATCTGGTTAATACAGGCTGATCAACTTTTTCTAATTAATGTGTTTGCAGGGCCACAGGTTTAATCATTTGTGTGTGCTTTCTTAGTAGTTTTCACTTTCACCATACATTATCCTTCAATTGAAATAAAGAATAACACCAGATTAAAGTTACCCTGACAGTAGAGGGTGCTGGACAAATATTCCTGAGCCACAGCAATGCTACTATGGTAAAGCAGTTTTGCCTGCTCCTGCATTACTATGCCCCACGTTACATTTTAACATACTCCACCTAGTGTCCAGGTTTCGATTTGGTCTGGATTTTATTCAAAATTTCATAAAGAGGCATCTAGCTGTTTGCTGCCTGTAATGGAGCTTTGAAGACTGTAACCATCAGATTGCTAAGAGAAGCATTAGAGCTACCTGTACATGAGAATGGCCACTCATACTTGGTAGGAACTACTCAGATAAAGATGCTGAGCAATTTAAAGGTGAGAAAACAATGCAGTGTAGAGGAGGAACAGCGGGAAAAACAGGGGAACAGAAAGATAAGATCATGCAATATAGAATATGTGAAAGATAGTGACTTAAATTGGGTTTCTAATCTCAAGTCTCTTTCCTGGAGAAGGTGTGAACACTATCCTAGAATATTCTTACTGACCTCCAACATAGTAATGGTAGCAATTTCTTTTTTGGTTTCTTCCAACAATGGTTCAAACCTTGGACAACATTAGAAAGGAGAAATTATACACAAAGGATGAGATTAATGAGAAAATTCTCAATATAATGTGTTCAAACTGTTCTTATGGTCCAAGCTCTGGATTTCTCTCTAAATTTCTGCACCGTTCTTCTTTCTTTAAGATACTCCTTAAAAGCTACCACTTTCACTGATCTTTCAGCCATGTATGCTCAATCTAATTTTGCTCTATAATGTTTCTGTGACATGAGATGGGATGTTTCATTATCCTAAAGATGTTAGAGAAATACAAACTTTGATGTTGATGCAGACAAATAGGAAACTCATTTTCTAACCAACTGATTTTTGAAAATGTCAATGATACTCACTTGCAATCATAATGGTTTTTGAATTTCCTCCAAGGCTATCCTTGAGAAGCCAGGTGAGGACAGAATCACGGTAAGGAACATAGCATTGGCGCCTGCTACTCCCTGAATACGCACTGGAATGGCTTCCAGAATCACCTTCGCTCACCATACTATTAATACTCTGGCAGCTGGTGGACATCTGGGAATTTTGAGCTGCATATTTGGAAAAGAATGCACAAATTGAGGAGAATTTACTTGCAACAAAACATCATAAGGTTTCCTTAAATTGAACAAAAACAACCTTCAGTTGTCAAAACAGCTAAAGCACTTGATTGCCTCAAACAACAAGTTAAATATTAGAATTCAACAAAGCTCCAATCTAGGCAGTTAAAAAAAAGAGAGATTTCCCTTCTTATTTTGTATCATTCACAACCTCAGGATGTTGCTAAGTGGTTTACAGTCAATGTAGTAGTTTTGAATTTATATTTTTGTTGTATGTAGCAAATTTGTCAGCCAATTTATGCATTAATTGTACCAGTGACGTGGTAGTGAACACACGAATACAGTAGCCATTCTGTCTCTTAACAGCAAAAAAAAGATAACCACTTATTGTAGTTTCCAGCAACATTCACTGAGAAAAGAATGTTATCTTGAATAAAGCAAGACCCTTCTGCTTTTCAAAGATTAATCAAACAAAAATGAAGATACCAATATAAATGTGATCCTTCATACATGATAGGCATTTGATGGAGGGTCCTGTTGCAGGATTAAACTAGTTTTCTGTTAAACTCATCAGCCAGGTGTCAAACGATCTATTAAAAAAACAGCTTTTTGTCTCTTCCCTCCTATTTGGCATTGGTTGATGGCATTGCAATTAAGATACACCAATAAATAGGTAAAACCCTTCTTGTTGGTATCCAGCCTGTTATTGTAAAATACCCACCACAATGTGCCAGATTCTTTGGTCACACATTTGAAAAAATGATTGGTAACACCTCCAACTTGGAATATCTTTTCCATTTAATTTTTTAGCTTTGTGTATGACTTGCTCATGACTAAATATTAAGAGGAAGATATTTCTTGGAATGTTTCATTCCACTGATATTAAGCAATTGAAGAAATGGGAGAAGAAATTGGAACTCTTTTACCCATGACAATACCTCAATTGCCAACAGCTAATTATCTATGTTGAATTGTAGCTCTGATTTTTAATTGTAGGTCTGTTGACTCTTACTCCCTGATTCAACACAGGATACCAGTCTTTTATTATTCACATAGCTATTCTTGAAGGCTGTCCTTCAAAATCACCTTACCTTGTTTAAGGGAAGGTCTGATAGAGCTAATCAAAGAAATTAAAATTTAAGAACCAATAGGGAGAAAGGATATACTTGGCATTGGCAGCAGCTTAAAAGCAATTCACTAGGTTAATTCCTGGGATGAAGGGGTTGAGTTAACAAGAATGGCTGAACAATTTTTGCCTCTATTTATTTGAGTTCAGAAGAATGAAGGATGATTTTTCTGAAACATTCAAGATTCTGAGGAGGTTTGACAGGGTAGACAGTGGTAAAATGTTTCCATTCATTGGGAGATCTTGAACCAGGGAAGATAGTTACAGAAGAAGAACAAAGAACAAAGAAAACTACAGCATAGGAACAGGCCCTTCGGCCCTCCAAGCCTGCACCGACATGCTTCCTGTCACAACTAAAACCCCCTACCATTTGAGGGACCATATCCCTCTATTCTCATCCTATTAATGTATTTGTCAAGACGCCCTTTAAAAATCACTATCATAGCTGCATCCACTACCTCCCCCGGCAGTGAGTTCCAGGCACCCACCACCCTCTGTGTAAAAAACTTGCCTCGTACATCACCTTTAAACCTTGCCCCTCACACCTTAAATCTATGCCCCCTAATAACTGAGTCTTCCACCCTGGGAAAAAGCTTCAAACTGTCCACTCTTTCCATGCCCTTCATAATCTTGTAGACCTCTATCAGGTCACCCCTCAATCTCTATCTTTCCAGTGAGAACAACCCAAGTTTCTCCAACCTCTCCTCACAGCTAATGCCCTCCATACAAGGTAACATCCTGGTAAATCTTTTCCGTACCCTCTCCAAAGCCCCACATCCTTCTGGTAGTGTGGCAACCAGAACTGAACGCAGCATTCCGAATGCGGCCTAACTAAGGTTCTATAACGCTGCAACATTACCTGCCAATTTTTAAACTCAATGCCCCGATGAAGGCAAACATGCTGCATACCTTGTTGACTACCTTCTCCACCTGCGTTGCCACTTTCAGTGACCTGCGTACCTATACACCCAGATCCCTCAGCCTATCAGTTCTCTTACTGGTTCTGCTATTTACTGTTTTCCATCTGGATTACACCTTCTAAAATGCATTACCTCACACTTTTCTGGATTAAACTCCATCTACCATCTCTCTGCCCAAGTCACCAACCAATCTATATCCTGCGGTATCCTCCGACGGTCCTCATCGCTATCCGCAATTCCACCAACTTTTGTGGCATCTGCAAACGTACTCATCAAACCAGTTACATTTTCCTCCAAATCATTTATATATATTACAAATAGCAAAGGTCCCAACATCCCTGAGGATCGCCACTACTCACAGCTCTCCATTCAGAAATGCACCCTTCCACTGATGTCCTCTGTCTTCTATGACCGAGCCAGGTTTCTTAATCCATTTTGCAAGCTCATCTCTGACCCCATGCGACTTTATCTTCTGTATCAAGCTGCCATGAGGGACCTTGTCAAAGTCCATGTAGACAACATCCACTGCCCTACCCTCAATCATCTTCATCACTTCCTCAAAAAACTCAATCAAGTTAGTGAGACACAACCTCCCCTTCACAAAATCATGTTGCCTCTCACTAATACGCCCATTGATTTCCAGGTGGGAGTAAATCCTGCCTCGAAGAATCCTCTCCAATAATTTCCCTACCACTTCCCAATCCTCTGGGACCTCCCTTATAGCCAGTGAGGATACAAAGATTTCCCTCAAGCCCCCAGCAATTTCCTCTCTTGCCTCTCTCAGTATTCTGGGGTATATCCTATCAGACCCTGAGGACTTGTCTACCTTAATGTTTTTCAAGACCCCCAATACCTCCTACCTTTGATCTCAACATGACCCAAACTATCTACACACCCTTCCCCAGACTCATCATCCACCAAGTCCTCCTCTGTGGTGAATACGGAAGCAATGTACTCATTTAATACCTTGCCCATTTCCTCTGGCTCCACACATAAATTCCCTTCCCTGCCCTTGAGTGGGCCAACCCTCTCCCTGGCTACCCTCTTGCTGTTTATATACTTATAAAAAGACGTGATATTTTCCTTAATCGTGTTGGCGAATGACTTTTCATGACCTCTTTTAGCCCTCCTGACTCCATGCTTAAGTTTCTCTCAACTTTCCTTGTATTCCACCCTTGCTTCGTGTGTTTCCAGCCTCCTAGCCTTGACAAATGCTTCCTTTTTCTTTTTGACTAGACTCACAATATTCTCGTTATCCAACGTTCCCTAAACTTGCCATATTTATCCTTCATCCTTACAGGAACGTGCCGGTCCTGAGTTCTTATCAACTTACACTCGAAAGCCTTCCACATACCAGATGTTGATTTTCCCTCAAACATCCGCCTCCAATCTACATTCGTCAGTTCCTGCCTAATATTGTTGTAATTAACCTTCCACCAATTCCTTCACCTGATAACTACACTTATCTTAATCCTTAACCCTTAAAACTTACTGAATTGTGATCACTGTTTCCGAGCTACTCCCCTACTGAGACATTGACCACCAGGCTCATTCCCCAGTACTAGGTCTCGTTCGGCCCCTTACCTAGCTGGACTATCTACATATTGTTTCAAGAAGCCCTCCTGGATGGTCCTTACAAACTCTGCCATATCCGCGCCCCAAGTACTAAGTGAGTCCCAGTCAATATATGGGAAGTTAAAAATCACCCAAGACAACAACCCTGTTACTTTTACATCGTGCCAAAATCTGCCTACAAATCTGTTCTTCTCTCTCCCGCTGGCTGTTGGGAGGCCTGTAGTAAACCACAAACATTGCTGCACCCTTCTTGTTCCTGAGCTTTACCCATATTGCCTCACTGTATGAGCCATTCAAGGTGTCCTCCCGCAATACAGCTGTGATGTTCTCCTTAACAAGTAGTGCAACTCACCTCCCATCTTTTACATCCCCCTGTATCCCGCCTGAAACATTTCTATCCTGGAACGTTAAATTGCCAATCCTGTCCCTCCCTTAACCAAATCTCTGTAACAGCAATATCATAGTTCCAAGTACTAATCCAAGCTCTAAGTTCATCTGCCTTACCTGTTACACTTCTCACACTGAAACAGATGCACTTCAGTCCACCAGACCCACTTTGATCAGCAACCACACCCTGCCTGCTCTTCCTTTGAGTCTTACTGGTCCTATTGTCTGGTTCCCTTTCAATCAATTCACCTTTGCTTTGGTTCCCACTCCCCTGTCAAGCTAGATTAAATCCTCCCAAGTGACACCAGCAAACCTCCCAGCCAGAATATTTGTGCCCCTAGAGTTTAGATGCAACTCATCCTTCTTCCACCTGCCTCAGAAGAGATCCCAATGGACCAGATATCCAAAATATACAGAATAAGGAGACACTCATTTAAGACTGAATTCAAAGGAATTTCTTCTCCCAGAAGGTAACGGACTTCTGGAATTTTCTACAACAGAGCTGTGGAGGCTAGATCACTGGAAGTATTTAAAAAGGAAGTAGATTTTTGAATTATTGAGGTGTTGAAGATTATGAGGAACTGGCATGACAGAGAAGTTGTTGCCTGGGCTGATCAGCCATAATCTTGCTGAATGGCTGGGCTGGTTTGAAGGGCCAAATGACCTATTACTGCTCCTATTTATATGTTTTAATGCTTCCTCTAAAGAAAGTTGGATCAGGAACTAGAGGTTGTCGGCTAAAAATAACCCATTTTAAAGGGTAATAAAATCAGATTCCATAGGAATAATTAAAAGGTAATTGGACATGTACACAAGGGGATTAATTTTCAGGGTTATGAGGAAAAAGCTGGGGTGTGGGTCTAAATTGGATGGCTTCTTCAGGCATCGTGGTTGAGCAGCCTCCTTCCACATGATTGCAACAATGACAATATTGCAAAACGACTCCACTGACTGAGAATTGGCTTGAAGCATGAAAGGTGCTACTTAAAGGTAAGTCTTCCTTTTCCTTACAAGAATGTCCTCTTTTTTGCAATTATATATATGGTAATCTTAACATAAAATCACAGGTATGTCTAAGTTTTAAAATCCTTACAGTACCAGATGAGGTGTAAAGGCTTGTGGCAACATCTCACCTAAGGTGGAGATGACTATTCCCAGAGTAACCAGTGATTTGTTAATGTTTGATCCTTCTGTGATCCTGTCCTTACAGAAATTTGGATCAGCTCTCTCACTGTAAAACATCAATTAAAGAAAAAATAAACAGATGTCTTTGTAAATCAGTGAGAATAAATCCTTAGCACCTTGATCAAAATACAACTAAAGCTATTAGGGGGCATACTTACAGCTTTCTTTTAAAACCTTCATGATTTACTCCTGTTTATCAAAACTATAGACTGAGTTTGATGCTACAATGTGTATTATGTCAGATATCTGGCAATTCATAATCATGCACTTCAGATACTTGAATATAGTTAACTGTACAACATGGAAGTTCTTTGAAATAAAGCGACACATGCAAATTAAAATAAATTGTTAAGTATTTACCTTCTCTCACAATTACCTTTTTCTTTTGTGCATTTAATACACTGAATCTGTGATACTGAAACAGTAATAATTCCACGTTCAGATGAACTACCAATTCAGCAACATCAGTGTGCAGTGTCAAAGAATCTCTCAGGGCACGAGTTCAGTAAGTAGGTAGTGGTCAGATTTGGAAGGCGACCATCACAATTTAAGTTCCTCATGCTCCACCTGTGGCCACATCTCCCATGGTCCATTCTCAAGCGGTTGAGTTGTCCAGCTTTTCTATAATAGGCTGAAACCGGGGACTCCAGCACTCAGCTAAGTTGCGGTTGTTTGTTTGCTCACCGAGCCGGTTGTTCCGTGGTGTGCAGACATTTCGTTACCGTTCTAGGCAACATGATCAGTGCGACCTCTAATCGAAGCATTGCTGTTCTGCTCCATTCTGAATTTATATGGTCCTCTGGTGTGGTGGGTCTTGTCACTTCCGGTTCTGTTTTTCAACAGTGGTCTGTATACAGGGTCTATTTATTTGTGTTTTTAATGGAGTCCTGTGTTGAGAACCAGGCCTCCAGAAATTCCCTTGCATGTCTGTTATTTGCTTGTCCCAGTCGAACAGGATTGCCTTCATTGTCTGTATTTATTGAGACAAGTGAATATTGGTCGTGCCTTTTTACTGCCAGCTGGTGTTCGTGTACCCTGGTCGTCAGTTTCCTTACCATTTGTCCAATGTGATGTTTATTGCACTCGCTGCATAGGATTCTGTAGATCACATTACTCATGTTCATTGTCAGTATGGGGTCTTTAGTCTTTAATAGCACTTGACGCAGTGTTGATGTAGGTTTGTGTGCAATCTTGATCCTATGCGGTCTAAGGAGTCTGGTTGTCATCTCCAATATATTTTTGATGTAGGGTAGGGTTGCTAGTGTCTTCTGTTGTAACGTGTCCTCTGACTGTCGTTTGTTTTGTAGGCATCAGCGGATGAAACTTCTTGGGTTGCCAGAGGACACGGTACAACAGAAGACACTAGTAACCCTATCCTACAACAAAAATATATCTGAGATGAAAACAAGACTCTAGACTGCATAGGATCACAACTGCACACAAACCTACATCAACGTTGTGTCAAATGCTATCAAAGACTAAAGACTAAAGGAGGGTGGCATGGTGGCACATTGGTTAGCACTGCTGACTCACAGTGCCAGGGACCTGGGTTCGATTCCAGCCTCAGGCGACTGTCTGTGTGGAGTTTGCACATTCTCCCCGTGTCTGCATGGGTTTCCACCGGGTGCTCCCATTTCCTCCCAAGTCCAAAGATGTGCAGGCCATCGTCAATTGCCCTTGGTGTTCAGGGGTGTGTAGATTAGGTGGGTTATACGGGCCTGGGTCTGGGTGGGATGATCTGAGAGTCGATGTGGACTGGTTGGGCCGAAGGGCCTGTTTCCACACAGTAGGGATTCTATGAAAGCCCGTACCGACTGTAAACAGGACTAATGTGATATACAGAATCCCATGCAGCACGTGCAATAAACATTAAATTCGACAAAACAGGGAGGAAACTAATGACCAGAATACACAAACACCAGCTGGCAGTAAAAAGACACGACCAATATTCACTTGTCTTGATACACACAGACAATGAAGGCCATCAGTTCGACTGGGACAAAGTGACTATACTGGGACAAGCGAACAACAGACATGCAAGGGAATTTCTGGAGACCTGGTTCTCAACAAGGGACTCCATCAACAAACAGACCGCTGCTGAAAAACAGAACCGCAAGTGACAAGATCCACCACACCAGAAGATCATATAAATTCAGAAGGGAGAACACCAGTGCTTCGATTAGAGGTCGCACTGATGATGTTGCCGAGAATGGTAACGAAATGTCTGCGCACCACGGAACAATCAGCTTGGCGAGCAAATGAACAATTGTATTCACAATCCAAGCTACAAATTTTCACTAAGAGTTGAGGTAAGTTACCAGATTGCAGCTAGTGATACTTGCAGTCATCAGGCATAGTTGCATTGAGAGGTAGGGCCGTCATCAGTTTGTAGGAGGTGAGGTATTTTCCGACAGAGATACTGGTATTCCAGATGGGTGAGAGTTTTTTTTTTGCAGTTCTACGTGAGTCAAAATTCTTTGTTAGCTGTCAGCTGATAACTCTTTTTGAGGAGGATGTTTACCCTATGCAGCTGGGGGTTCAATCCATTTGCGAAGAAATAATCCTCATTACTTTATGGATATCTACAACATTAATGTGGCCACTCCTTTGCCAGGTTGAGGAACAGTACTCTGCTGTTGTGTAGACCAAGGTGAGTGCAGTGTGCAGAGTGTGCTGGTTCTGCTACTCCAGCTGGTACTCTAATCAAAAACACATCTTGAGGCAGTTACCAAAAGCACAGTGGTTACAAGAGCAGGTCATAGGGTAGGGTTCCTGCAGAAATTAACTCTCCTCTGATTCCTTAAAATCCGTCTACAAGGCACAAGTCAGGAGTTTCAATAAGTGCAGCTGCACAGTCTGCTTCACTGGCACCCCATCTAATACCATCAAAATCCAATCCTTCTACTACCAATGCTCAGAAGCAGCAGTGCGCAGCATCTATGATGCACTGCAGAAATTCGCCAAAGATCCTTAGACTGCACTTTCCAAATCCACTACCACCTCCATCCAGAAGGTCAAGGGCAGCAGATGCATGGAAACACCACCACCTGAAAGTTCTGCTCCAAGCCACTCACCATCCTGACTTGGAAATATATCATTGTTCCTTCACTGTCACTTCTTCAAAATCCTGGAATCCCTTCCCGAGGACATTGTCGATCTACCTACAGCACTTGGACTGCAGCGGTTCAAGAAGGCAGCTCACCACCATATTCTCCACCTTCAAGAGCCATTACAGATGAGCAATAAATACCCACATCTCATGGAAAAAAATAATAAAATATGACTGAACCCTGGTCACCATGGTCCTGGTCTAAACAATAAAAAAACCCACTGATGCGCTTAACAGCTAATCTTGAGAGAGGGGCTCATGTTCAGAGATTTAAGTAAAGGATACAAACAAATGCTGGTCCCATTAGTTGATGGTACAGGGTTATGGGAAATGGAATAAACGTTTTGGGCAAGAGATATAGGGGTGAATAAGAATCTTTTTATGCAGCAAGTGGTAATGACCTGATACCTAATGGCAAGACAGCATCAGAGACATGACTTCAAAAGGAAATTGGATAGGCAGTTGAGGGAAAAATATCTTGCAACCATGAAATGGAACTGACCAAATTGTTCTGGAGAACCAGCACAGACCCTAAATGGCTTCTTTCACTGTAATGATCCGACTAACGGTTACTTTGTTCAGCCAAGGTCCTGAATGGAAAAGTTTCGGCAGCTTTACACATTGTTTGAGATGCTAGCATGCAGGAAATATGCTCCCCAGCCCACTATTACCAAAAAGCCGCCAGCCACACATGCTCCAGTCCTATCTAGTGCCCATTTGTCCCTCATGCACCAGTCTCCACCAACCAAAATCAACCCAATAATCAATCAGGAGATTGTGGACTGACAAAAACTATGTGTTATTATGGATTAGTCATATCTTTCGTAATGTAGAAAATACCCAATGACTCACCTGCCTGCCAAATCAACAAGGTTAATTTTGCTAACTATCTCTGATGGAAGGTGACTCTCCAATATTGCCTAAAATACAGAAATTGAGACATTAATTTACATTAAAGACACTTGGAGCAACATCTTTGTATTTTAAAATTTTTATTTATTTAATTGGCCAATGTATCTATAGAGATACGTACATAGGAACAGGACTATTGAATCCCCCAGGCTAGCGCCATTTCATTACAACATGGTTGATCTGAATCTTAACTCCATTTAACGGTCTTTGTTCCATATCCTTCAAGACCCTTTCAGATTTGATAGCTGCTGTGAACATTCTGGGAAAACAGTTTCAGATTTCCACTAACGGTTGGATGAAGGAGTGCTTCCTGATCTCCCTCCTGAATGGCCTAGCTTTAATTTTAAAGTTATACTCCCCACACTAGAGAGAAGCCTTTTATTGTTGAAACACAAATAATTCACTGTAGACCTAAGGTTGATTTTTTTTTGTGATACGTTGTAACATACCAAACCACGTGTTCTACTTTATTTCTAACAGAATATTAAAATATTTCAGTCCAAACCAGAGCAAAACTTCAATCCTCATCTCTAGGAAGATTTGCCTCCTATTCAAAGCCAATATATGCCACAGAATGTTAACCTCTGCCAGTCCAACAGTTGGCACAGATTTGTTAGGGCCAGGCCAAGAATTACTGTCCATGCTCACAGGTTAACAAGTTATGATACTGCACCAAGGAAGGTACAAATGAAATGCAATATTTTGTACACACTACTCACGAGATTTCCTTGGCAACAAAGAAAGGGATAACTGATGTCACATGAGCAAATTGGTCTTAGTCTTGAGGCCTAACAATTGGCAACCACAAAATAAAACAAATTATAAGATTAATTATCAACAATAAAAAAGGTGAGTAAATGGAGGTCTGAGAAGGCTGAAACTGTTCTTTTAAAAACAACGAGATGATAGGAAGCCTCACCATATGAGGCCAGAGGGATACAAGAACATTAAATCAGAAACAAAAACAAATTGCTGGAAAAGCTCAGCAGGTCTGGCAGCATCTGTGGAGAGAAATCAGAGTTAACATTTTAGGTTGAGTGACCCTTCCCGATTGCCACATAATTCTATATTATAAATAACTGCTTTGTTTTTAACGAAAATAAAAAGGTAATTTATTGGATGCAAAGCAATCTGGGAGATTCTGAAGGTCTGAAAGGTGCTACATAAATGTGAGGTCTTGAAGGTTTTTGTTATATTAGAGCCAGTAATTGATGAAATTGGAATTCAACCAATTATTTTGTGATTGCCCAGAGGATGACTGTAGTTATCCTTCATTGGTGAGAGGCACCAAGAATTAATATTTTAAAGCTTTTGCTTTAATAGCTATGTATATTTCTTTGATAAATGTGAAATAATATGTTTTAAACACATTAA